GGCGAGCTCCCTTGTGGGCAGAGGCAGATGGTTCAGATTACTGAGCCGTACAGTCAGATGGGACCAACCCCTTTCTGATTAATACAGCGAGCTAATTTCAGAGGGGGGGGGAAGATCCTTCCCATTCTCCACCTCTCCCTCCCCACCCATGTCTAAAATTTAAATTATAAGCACAGCAGGGCTTCTGCTTCAATTAAATTCAGCACAGCAGACATTATACGGCTGCAGCGGAATTTCCAAATTCCAGCCCTTGAGCATGCTATCCCGTTGAAAACTGAGTCCGTGGAGGCTCAAAATCCAAAATGCTTCATTAAGCAAAAATAATCCTTCAATCCATCATTTTTCTCTCATTGGACTTGTAGGTCCAGGGCGAGGATTTGCCTTCGGCCTGCTTGGATTCTGTCCTGCTTCCGTGGCTAGTCACCACGTCCCTTACAGAAACACCCAGGGGCGGCCAGTGCAGAGGCAGCGCCAGCGGGTCCGTAATTTCCATCTGGAAGGCGGTGTCAGCCTTCTGCTCTGAAAACTGTTGCGCTTCTGCGTGGAAGCGATGCTCTGGACACTTTCAGTGCTCCATCCACAGGGCAGGGACGTATGTGAGCCACATCATGGGTGTGTAACAGGCCACCTTTTCCTCCTACACAGAGCCCACTTCCTGGGTGCTCTCTTTAAGCTCGGTGGTGTACGGTGTGTGTGGAGAGAAAGCCTTTGGCAATATTCTGTCCCACACCAGATTCTCAATGGGCGTGGTGCTCCTCAGGTCAAGGGAGGAATTGAGTGTGGCTAAGACTTTAATCTACGTAGTATCTTTCTAATTAAAGCTCTCCAAGCCGGGGCTGGGACGATGGGGCAGATGGGGGCTCTTTGTCACTGCTTATTATTTTATCCAGAGAAGCGAGCCCTCCCAGGAAATAGGTGACTCTCCTTCAGATTGCACGGAACTATATAATCTGGATTTTTGCCTAGAGTGCTTGTTTCATATATCTAAAGATCTGCTTTTTTGCTACCATTGGCTACCCTATTTTAAAATGTTGCTCTTTTTTACTCAGAACATTTTATTTCAAGATATAGGTCTGCCTGTAGGTTATACTCTTTATTATCAATATTCTTTATTTTATTTTTTAAAATATTTTATTTATTTATTTTTAGAGAGGGAAAGGAGGGAAAGAAAGAAAGAGAGAGAGAGAGAGAGAAACATCAATGTGCGGTTGCTGGGGGCCGTGGCCTGCATGTACCCTGACTGGGTACCAAAGGCATGTACCCTGACTGGGAATCAAACCTGGGACACTTTGGTTCCCAGCCCGCGCTCAATCCACTGAGCTACGCCAGCCAGGGCTATATTTTATTTTTTTGATTATGTGACTGGGTGTCCCAAGTTTTCCCCTTTGCTGCCCTCTGCCCTCTCAGGCATTCCCCACACCCTTGTTCGTGCCCGTGGGCCCTTTGTATGGGTGCGTTGGCCGCTCCATTTCCTACGCTGTCCTTTACATCCCCACGGCTTTTCTGTAACTACCTATTTGTACTTAATCCCCTCACCTCTTCACCAGTTCTCCCACACCCCCTCCCATCTTGCAACTGTCAAAACCTTCCCCATATCCACGATTCTGTCTCTCTTCTTCTTGTTTGCTTAGTTTGCTTTCTAGGTTGAATTGTTAACAGATATGTACTTATTGACGTTCTGTTGTTCATAGTTTTGATCTTCTTTTTCTTAAATAAGTTCCTTTAACATTTCACATAATGGTTCGGTGATAATGAACTCCTTCAGTTTTTTTCTGGTCTGGGAGGCTCTTTATCAGCCCTTCGATTCTAAATGACAGCTTTGCTCTGTAGAGCAATCGTGGCTGTAGGTCCCTTGTTTTTATGACTGAGTATTTCTCGCCAGTCCCTTCTGGCCTGCAAAGTTTCTTTTAGGAAATCAGCAGACAGTCTTATAGGAATTGCCCTGTAGGTAACTGCTTTTCTCTCGCTGCTTTTAAGATTTTCTCTTTCTCTTTAACCTTCAGCATTTTAATTATGACACATCCTGGAGTGGGCCTCTTTGCATCCATCTTGTTTGGAACTCGCTGTGCTCCCTGGACTTGCATGTCCATTTCTTTCACCAAATTAAAGTTTTCTTTATTATTTTTTCAAATAAACATCCAATTTCTTGCTCTTTCTTTTCTCCTTCTGGCACCTGTATGATGCAAATGATGCGGGTCAGCTGCAAGGGCTGGCTGTGGCCACTGACCACCAACATCTGCCCTCCGTGGAGGATCAGCTGTGTGGGGGCAGGGTGGGGGTGCTCGAAGGTGGTCTGTAGCTGTCACTGGGTGTGCTGGCCCTGGGGTTTCCCAGGAGGTGCAGGCCAAGGTCAGTCCCCATCTGTGCTTTGCCCAGGGCTACTCTGTCTGAGCTATAAAGCAGTAAGAGAGAGCTGCTACTTGTGCTGGGCTTGGGGATTTCCAGGTGAAGCCAAGCTGTGAATCTAGGCTGCTACAGTAGTTCTGGGTCTGGGGCTCACTGAGGCCAGGTGCTGCTTGTTTGAGAGGATTTAGGAAGTTGTGAAGCAGGGGCCAAGACCAACCATTGGAAAAGCAGCTTCGGTGGGCATGTCAGTTGGGTGGGAGATATATCAGTCTCTGGAGATCTTCCGGGTGGGGCAAACAGTGTTAGCCCCATCGATAGAGTCTCAGATACAGCACCAGCCTGCTGGCTCTGTGGCAATGTCGGGGGAGGATTCAGAAAAGGGACAATAGTCTCTGCCTGCCTTTCTGTCTGGGAAAGAGCTGTCCCCAGCTCTTGCCTGGATGCCAGACACTTCAGTTCCTCCCTGCATGCCACTGCTGTCTTTCAAGCTGCTACCTCAGTGCTGGAGTCCAGAGGGAGTGAGTCTGGTTAAGTCCGTGTGCGGGTCCTTTAAGAGGAACTACTTGGGACTCCAGAAGTTTCTTCCACCAACTCAGTCCCTGCTGGTTTTTGCAGCCAGAAGTGGTGACTTATCTTCCTGGCACTGGAACCCTGGGCTGGGGTTGGGGGTGGTGTCTCATGGGGTTAGGACTCCGTGCTCTCAAGATACCCCTCCTGAATTTTTATCCACCGCACATGGGTGAGGGACCAGCCCTTTCTGCATCTCCGCCCCTCCCACCAGTCTGGATGGATGTGGCTTCTTTAATTGCACAGTTGTCAGACTTCCATTCAACTTGATTTCTGATGATTCTGAGTGATGATGGTTGCTCTGTGTTTTAGTTGTAACTCTGATGTGGTTGTGCGAGGAGGCGAGCCCTGTTTACCTGTGCCACCATCTTGCTAAAATGGTCTCAGTTTGAAAGACTGACAGACAAGTAGGACAAAACAGAAACTTGCTCAGTGCTGATTGAGAACGTACATTAACAGCTCCACTCTCACTGTACATGCACTGTACATGCATTGCTTGGAACTCAACATTCAAACCACTGTGTGAGTTACTATATTTCATCTCCACTGAGAAGGGCTACTCAGTAATAAGGTCTTACAAAACTTTACAGATGATAAAAAGCCAGAAGGACTGTATTTCTGTTTTGTTTCCCAGTTCAGCACCACTCTTAGAGAATACTGCACAGCTGTCTCATGACACTGAAAAACCCCAAACAAACCTTTATTTCCCATAGACAAGGACAATTTGGTGAAGATCTGCCTGTAGAATAGTTTTGGTCAGAAAATAAAGTCCCCCAAACCAACTTGAATTTGGTAGGTCTGAATCAGTTAATATCTCTTAAAGAACAAAATAAAAAACCAAAATAATAAAAACCTATTTCAGTATGCTTTACTGTAAGTTATTTGTGTTTATTTTAAAATCTACCACTAAAATTCCATTTTACTAGGAATTGGGAAACATTGATGGTAGTGGTGTCCACTCTAATCTCCGACGACAGTCTGTAAAGCAGACTGTCCCTGTCTGGCCCTTTTCCATGTGGGTGGGTGGAGGTGTGGGGGGAGGGTGTCAAACACTGGACACCCTCAGGTGGTAGCTACCCCAGTGGGACAACTGAATACTCCGGTACTTTTTTATGAAACCAGATCTCTCAGCCTCTCCCCAGCAGATGATTCCACTGAACATGGAATGTCTTTACAACTTTTTATTCCTCAATTTATTACGAGGGCCTTTCCACTGGACATGCAATAACTGTATTTGCGGCTGCGTGTAGAACGACTCATTCCTCCAGAAAGGGAAAATAAACACCCCAGGGTCTGTGCAATGGGACCACAAAGGGTCACCCCTTCCAAGGCTTCCCGGCCTGCTTGAACGGAGGCCCACAGCCATACTGTGGTCCACAAGGCCGTGTCCCTGGGGCACCAGACAGCATCCAGGCCTCTGCGTGTCCACCTCGCTGCCCCACAGGCTCCCTCGCCAGGCTTTCAGTCTCCTCTGACTTCTCCCAAACCCACCCGATGTGTTGGAATCTCTTATTTTACCCAGTATCTCTCAGAAGAGGGGTCCATTGCCTCAGCCCACCGTTTTCCGAGCACACCTCCCAAGGGTTCTCTTTCATAAGGCTACCAACGTGGGGCATGAGCATTAGGCGGACACTGAAGGTCATCTTTACGGAGTGGCAGAGCCAAGAATTCAAACCCCAGGTTGCCTGAACCCAAAGACTACTCTCTCCTTCTCATATTGCATGGATTCTGGGAACTGGGATTACTTGGTTCAAACAGTGCTTGCTAAAAAGATTAAAAGATTTTTTAAACTGCCATTAGTAAGGACTAAGAGTTCCAAATTAACTACCTTTCACCAGTATTTGGTTACTAAAAGTGAAAACATCAAGTGCACTGTTTTAATTAACTTGTCTTTTCATTACCAGCAGGGGTTAGCATTTACCCACCACTCTGTCTACTTCTCTGTTTATGCTTCCCAGAGTGGGTTCCGCAGGCGGCATGCCACCCGGGGCAGAGCACGCAGAAGGTCATAAATGAAACACAAGTCAGGGCCTATGCGGAAAGTAAACAGGTCCTTATTACTCGAGACCAATGAAGGAAAAGGTAAATTTACTAAAATATTTCTTTATTTGAATAAGGTCAATGTCATTTCTGGAATTCCAGCTAGCATCAAATAACAATCCGAAAGGAAAAAAAAAAAAACACTTGACAAAATGTTACCCAATTGAAATTAACAGGGGATAGAAAACTCTTTAAAACTTTCAAAGAAATATATTAAAAAGGCAACATACAGATCTAAAAAGTTGCAAGTGGCGATTTCACATTAGATCGTGTGAGTAAAAAGATCCCAGTATAATCACCTGTTCACCATCGCCCCGCGAGGAGCACCCGGGCGGGAAATCTAAGACAATCACATCTGAGCGCTCACGACCGTGATCAGGTTCTTGACAAAGACCCCGCGCCTCCGCGATGCAGCGGGTCTGGCAACCCCTGATTCAAGTAAGTTTTGTTCCCCCCAAGTTATCAAAAAGTACAATGGTCCTAGATAAAATGTTGAAAAAGCCCAATCAGGAGAGCGAGAAGCTTCAGCAGGCAGACGGGAAGACGGGAGTTTTCCACGGCGTGAACGTGAGATCTGGAAATGATTTTGTCAGTGGAAAAGCCATTCACCACAGCACAAAGAGCCACAGGCAGCGGTCGGGCTTGGTGTGCGGCGCCGCCAGCCCTGGTGGAAGGATCACTGAGTAGACGGCAAGCAGGAGGAGTCAGTGCGCGTGGGCTGCCGTCACGGCGGTCGGAGGAAGGGCTCTGCTCCCGGCTCAGCTGCCGGCCAGCGAGGCCAGCGAACCACGCTCGTTTCCCCGCTGCCCTTCCCAGTGGCTCTCAGACACCGGTGCGCTCAGAGCCACCCGGGGGGCCTGCCGCACCCACTTCTGAGGCCGCCCCGAGGGCTGGTTCAGGCGGTCTGGGACGGGGCCCGAGCATGTGTTCTTAGCCAGCACCCCGTGACCCGGACGGACCACACTGTGAGAAACAGATTTCCTTTAACACACAACAAAAACTGTGTCTTGTTTGCAGCTTCATAGTAAAGCCGCAAGCCGAGTAAAACATCCAAACAATTGGAACACAATAGATACATTAAATGGGTATTGGGCATTACGTACTAGCGTTTCTGCTTAAAAGTGGCATTATACGTATGACTTACACTAAAATTTTAAATCATTTTTGTTTTAATTGAAGGCACCTGTAAAAATACTTGCTGGTGTGAGAGAAGTTAACAAATTCAATTATACAAAACAGTACAGAAATGAAAGAATCTGGCAGTGACTGATTTTTCCAGAGAGCAAACATTTTTCTTCAGAAATGAATTAAAGTCCATTGTTTTGAGGAAAGGAAAACAAATGTCAAACAACACAATAAACAGCGGTGTGACCGACTCTGCCGAGTGGTTTTCTGCAAAGGGCGTTGCCAGGGAGGGAAGAGTCAGCGCTCGCTCTCCCACGACAGGGTCTGCGTCCCCAGGGTGCGGTCGGGTTGCTGCCGCCGCCGGGGCTTCAGCCCGGACCACGGGCTGCGTGGGTCTGGGTCCTCCGAGGGGTTCAGGCTCCTGTGACTGGGGACTTTTTAACACTGAACACCTGGAAGTCTTTCATCTCAAGGACTTCCCAAGTTCACAGCCTACAACTGAAACTCTTCTGAAGGCATTCTTTTTTTTTTCCAGGAGGAGTAAGTTCTGTGAGACGACGATGTCTCTGAAACCTGAACTTGGAAATGCTAACGCTGCCAGGAGAACACCGGCGAGGCACGCTGAAGTGCCCGACGGGGGGAGTTGGTGGTGGCGGTTAGAGGGCCCTTGGCCGGCCCCCGTGACAAGGGCCGACACAGACAGGGCAGGTGCTGCCATGCCGGAGTGTGCTTCCAAGTCTCTGTGCGGACTCCGGGCCGTCCGCCCGGCCTGTGAGTGACATCTCAGCACAGACTCATGACGGCTTGGAAGGATTCAGTAACACTATTTTACAAAGCAGTATTACTCTGGATTCTACAACAAAGGAAGACATCTATCTCTTTTAGGGAACTAAGGGAGGTGAGTGGAGGCAGCAAAAGTAAGAGCATCAGCTGTGAAGACAAGAGGAAGCGCACTTGACAATGTCGCTGACAGACCGTTTCTGTAATAGCTGCACCTCTGTACAGAGACGTTACCAACCCCTTCCAGCCTGGCACTTCCAGCTTAAGTTTTTTGACAAGTGCCATACAGTATCCTCAGTTCTGGCGTTAAAAGGGGGAAAAAAGGCAGAAGTATTAACTCCATTTTCCAAATTTTGCCTCCAGACATGGTAGCACACCGCCCCCAGGCAAGGCCAGCCTCCCTGGTGCGCAGGAGCGCGGAGCCGCGGACGCCGAGTGACGCGGGGCAGGGCAGCGGGGGCTTGTGAACCGAAACGTCCCCTGCGCACGCACTCTGAGCTGAACTCAGAAGCTGCACAACGGGGTAGAAGTTCCTTCATCACAAATACAGGTGCAAACGTTATTTCCGTAATGTTGAACCGACACGTCAGAACGAAGACATTCGAGCCTGAGCGATCACAGAGTGAACACGTCACCAGGCAGAGCACCCACAGCGGCGATCGTCAGAGGGATGTGTTCACCACATTTTTCTCTTTTTTCTTTTTGGCAAAGAGCAATTCTTAATGTCCCCCCAAAATTTCATTGATAATCAGAGGGAAAAATACTTCAATAAACATTCTGAAGCCCGTTATCCAGATCCTAACACGCTCAGACAAAACAGTCCTTGATTTCGAAGGGAACGGTATCAGATTGCAGGACCGAGGGGTTGGGTCTCTGAGCACGGAATTCTGACCTCTTAAAAAAGACTGGGGTTACCAACTAGTCATGATGCGGAGCTCTTAGTCTGACCTCCTGTTTTGGGGGGCAGGAGGGCTAATGTGTTTTATGAAATACAGAAACCTCCAACATCCAAAACTTAGGGGCTAACTCTCATATTTGGGGTTTCCCCCATTTTCTATTATTTACCCTCTTATTAGCAATAAGAATATTGAAGATCAGTGGCTGTATTCTACTGGCCAGAAATTCACTGAAATTTAAATAGATTTTATGTACTATGAACAAATTTACACGTGGTTGTTTTAAGGTCTCTTACTGCAAATCAATGTTCAAAGTTATTTTATACAAAACTGAATAATTTAGCCTATGAAGCAATTTAAATACTTACAATCCCTCAAAAAGACATTTTGTACATACATACATGATGTACACATATGAAAATGGTGGTCAAAAGAATTTTTTGGCAGCTGCTTCTTGCTGAGTTCTGAGGAAAAAGAGAAAGAAAAAAACAGAATTTCTATACACTTTACTTTGTACAGAAATAGGATTGCTTAGAATTAAAACCCACACAGTCTCCTGAAGCATCAGACACACGGCGACGAGCACACCCGCCCCCCGCCCCAACCCCGCGCGAGCCGGGCTGGCCCTCCAGACTCACCTGTACATGATGTACCCGATGAACAGCACCGTCTGCACCACCACGAACACGACGAAGTGGACCGTGGACAGGCAGGACGGAAACGGCGGCAGGTCTGGGCACTTGGGTCTTTCGTTTGCCGGCTGTGAGGCAAAGAGCTCTCCGTTACAGTGAGTGAGGTCGGTAGTTTAGAAAGACAAGGGAGAGAGCTGCACAGAACACAGGGCTCACTGTGTGGACCCCAGCACTTTCGCTTACCCATGCTGTCCCCCCATCCCCTCGCGTGCGCCGCCACGCCTTCTGGAAGAGCAGCTGACCCGGGGCGGCCCCTCCCCACAGGCGGCGCTGCCTCCCTGCCACCTGGCTCCCATCCTCATCGCGGCGACAGCAACTTCAGTGTCCCTGAGGGCGACAGACCACGAACTCCCCGGGCGGACACCTGCTGTACTGGAGTAACTGTTCACAGTGTCACCTTCGGAGGGTCGCCACATCCCTGTCTGACCCAGAATTGCTTTAGGAGCGTTCTGCCCCGCCCCGCCGAGTGCCCTGGGCAGACAGCCCCGCGGTTCGCCGCCGGCCAGCCTGCTGACCACCTGGGGGCCTCGGTCTCGTGCGCCCCCAGCTCCCTGCAGTCCACGTCCCTGACTGGTATTCTGAAATATGCTTTTTCTTGTTTCCACAGGTATCTCTCCTATTTTAAGGAGATAAGTACCAGGGACAAAGGTTCCCCCAAGGCATGCAGACGGAATGGCTGCTGAGATCATGTGTTTTCAATGTGCTTACATGAAAAAAATGCTTACAGCTGTGGGACAGAGTCCTTCAGCGCCTGCGCACAGCACCCGGACCACCGACGGGGCCCTGTCGGCAAGGCTGCAGGGGGTGAGTGGGGTGGGGTGGGAGTAACCTCATGCGGAATTAAGGAAACAGGTGTAACGCTTCGGATGAGACGTGGCGGTCAGTAAGAAAACTAAGCGGCCTGTGGCAAACGGGAAGGGGAAGAGGCAAACGCTACTAGCATTTGTGAATTTTGTAAGGATTTTTAAAGCCAATAATTAAGAAAAACCTTACAAGTACCAGGGGTCTGTCTTCTAATATTGTTTCTTATGCATGTTAAATTTCAAAAAAAGTAATCTATTTTTAGTATTTATTGTCAGTCTCCAAAAAATGGGGCTTATGCTCTTAAAAATACCTAATAAAGTCAAACCAGAACAGAAGTAAAAACAGACAGACAAGCTTTAAAACGGAAACGAGCCAGGAGAAGGAGCAAAGGAGGAGGGTCATACTGGGAAGGCCGCCGCCGGCTTGGGCTCCGGCCCCTCGGCGCCCGAGAGACGCAGCAGGAGCTGCCCGTGCCGTCTGTCCGTCTGACGGAGCGTTTGTCAAGACAGACATCTACCTTTTCAAAGCTGTTCCGAGATGTTACTGATATTATTATTGTTCTTTAATTTTTTTAAAGAAAACTTACAGGAAAAAATCTAGAAAAAAAACAACAACAATGCCTGAGATTCTGAGATTCCACTAACTGGAAGAGCAATTTAAAACATTCTGCTCAGTAGTAAGGGGTGGAAGCGTGACACAGACCCTACGGACACACCTGGAACAACTCGACCCGAGCACAGGGGTGGGCAGGGGCTGGGCAGAAGCAGGTCTGCACAACAGAGCACCTGGCACTGACTGAACAGCTGAGTCAGGCGCTACGGAATAAACAGAGCAGACCACGCATCCCGCCTATTGGGGAGCGGCCCGGCCGGCGCTCGCTCACCGCGTTCCGCTGCACCAGGTTCTCCACCTCCCGCTTCACCAGGTGCAGGTGCTCCTTGATGTCGTTGAAGTGCTGGGTGGTCTCGTAGACGCCCCCTGCAGACCCAGGGTGCTGCATGCCGCTCACCAGCCGGACAGTTTCGCTCATGGAGTTCCTGAGACAGAAAATCCCTTTAGACAACAGAATCACTAGAAGAATGATTTTTTCCCACCACAGATTTCCAATGGTTACACTTCTAAGCTCGATATATCAGATCATAAAACAACAAAGAATATCAATATTTAAAAAACTGAATCGTTGTCAACATTGGAAAGTAATTTATAAAACTACTGATTAGTATTATGTCTTAATCTTTTACTAAAGGTCATCTAACCACATAAAGAAGACTACTAAATGATTTGGGTGAAACCAGTATCCCATGGGTACCAAATAACATGATGGGTCTAATCTTTAATCAACGTCCATCTGTCTAGGTGTCCAGTGCTGCACAGTAAAGAATTACCCACCAGGCCGGGCTGCCCGGACCCTGCACACGGCACAGGTCCTCAGCACTGGCCTGGACCAGGCCCGGGGGGAGCCCTTCAGCCCCTGGAACAGCCCATGTGGCAACAGTGCTTCCGTCTGCCTGGGTCTTGGCCCCCACGACAGTTCATGCGAACGACGTGAGTCCTGTTTCTGTTCTCCTGGGGCCTGGGCTGCTGCACCCGTCTGACCTCCAGAGGGCTGCAGACTGAGTGGTTAAGGTCAGTCACAGAGATGCTTAGCGCCTCTGTGGCCGTCCCCCGAGACCCCAGGCACAAGGCTTGGGCAGGCCTCCTCGGCTGGAGGCACTTCGACCACGCTGTCACACGTCACTCCTGAGGGGGGGACCCACTGGGGAAGCTCGGGGGCACCGATAGCTCGTGCCCAGTTTCTCCAACTCCACCTATTTACCTTTTTTCTTTACTGATTTAATTAAAAATTTAAAAAAAATTTTAGAGTGTGTGGAGGGAGAAAGAGAGGGAGAGAAACATCAATCAGCTGCGTCCTGCACACGCCCCAGCTGTGGATTGGCCTGCAACCCAGGCGTGTGCCCTGAACGGGAACCAAACCGGAGACTGCTTCTTTGCAGGACAATGCTCAACCTACTGAGCCATGCTGGTGAGGGCTCTCTGCTGACTTTATTCTATCCTTTTACTGTAATAAAACACAACTCTGAGTACAGCAGCTTTTCTGAGTTCTGTGTAAGTACTTCTAGCAAATGACAGAACCTAGGGATGGTCTCGGGACCCCCCAGTCAGATGCAATTCCATTTCCCCTGCAGTTCTAGCAGATGCCGCTGTGAAATGCAAACCCACTGCCTCAACTAGGATCCGACTGACAGGCATCTGTCTGTCTGTGTCCAGTGCGAAGGAAGAGCTGGCACACTGAACAATGGTGGGTGGGGTGGGCAGTCCCCAGAGTTATCTTTCAAAGGGTAACTTGACCCTGTACAACGTTTTACCCCCCCACACACTGACTTCGGAATCGAATCTCCATGTAACACGTGATTCCACTGTTCACATATAAGACCCTGATTTCTACCACTGACGGCTCCCGTGGTGGGCTAGGGTCGAGGGGCTTGAGGAGAGTAGTGAGTACCTTGAACGAGACGAATGATGATCAGGAATGCTAATTAAAACCATAATAAGATACTATCTCACACCTGTCAGAATGGCTACCGGTAATAAATCAACACACAAGTGGCAGCGAGAATGTGCAGAGAGCGGAACGAACCTTCCGGCACCGCTGGTGGGCATGCAGACCGGCGCAGCCCCTGTGGGACGCAGTGTGGAGACACCTCAAAACATTAAAAATGGATCTGCCTTTCGACCCAGTGATCCCACCTCTGGGAATGTATCCCAGGGAACCCAAAACACCAATTTGAAAGACCATAAGCACTCCTATGTCCATGCAGCATTATTTATGAAGGCCAAGACAGGGCAGCAGCCCAAGCGTCCATCAATAAACAAGTGGACAAAACAACTGCGGGACATTTACACGATGGAATACTACTCAGCCGTGAAAAAGAAAATTTTACCCTTTGCAACAGTATGGATGGACCTGGAGAGCATTATGCTAAGTGAAATAAGCCAGACAAAGACAAATACCATATGATTTCACTCATACGTGGAATGTCATGAACAAAGTGAACTAACAGGCAAAATGGACACAGACTCATTGACAGCAGGATGACGGCTGGTGGGGGTGAGAGTTTGCGGGGGGGGGGAGGTCGAGGGGGGAGGGATGGAGCAAAAAGGAAAAAGGACTCACGGACATGGACAACAGTGTGGTCATTGCTGGGGGGAGAGTATAAGGGGACTAAATGGTAATGGGACAAAAATACAATAAAGATTAAATTAAAAAATAAAGAGGAAAAACATTTTAACACAGTGGGAAACGTGTAAACACTAGGTGTCTTAGTTCACTACGTTATGTAGCATGGAGAGAAATAAAGGACGCAAATGCACAAGAGACTTCTTGGGGCTAGAATGTCCAGACGAGTCAAACTTCAAAATAAAAGAAAAAGGAATCATTACAGGCTGCTAAGCAGCTTAAGTGTCACACTACAGGGACAGGCTGAAGGTGCAAAAGAGGAGAATCAGGAACATCCCGGAAGAACACGGGGAGACATTCGGCGAAAACGCCCAGCACGGCGCCCGGAATTCAGCAGGCGCACAGAAACCGAGGGAAAGGCACACACGGAAGCTACCTGCCGTCCACGCTCACCAAAAAGAGCGCCGAACACTGAGTTCCACATGTGAAATACACGACCGATCAACGCGTGCCACCGGCTGCCACATACAGACAGCAGAGCTCAAAAAGCATTCGTGACCCTGTCCCCTGGAAAGGCCCAGAAGCAATGACAACTCAGTAGCAATGAGCACCAGACCGCCTACAACTACCACGTCCCACCGGAACGCCAGGGCTGCAAAGAAAAATGCCTTCTGCCACGTGTGGGACAGGAACGTACAGGAGGCCTGGAAGGATTTACGCGGAAAGGAAGGGAGGTAACTACGACTACAGGGGTGTGTCGCCAGGACATTGAAGACAGCAGCCAAAGAGGAGACAGTTTGAGCATTGATGACAAAGACTAGCGGCTCAAGACAGCAAAATACATGAAAATCCATGAACTGCAGAAAAAAACCCCCGCCCTTTACCACCTCATCCCGTGACCCTGGAGCCCGCAAGGGCGCTGGCTCATCGACACGGCATGGAGAAAGAGCCAGGTCTTTGTCCTGCCGTTCCCGAACTGGCTCGGGATGACAGGTGACGGGGAGAAGTCTTCTGTTTGCACGGAGAGGCCGTGGTAGAGCGGGACTGTCCGCCTCCTTCAGCCTCCGACGAGGCGGCGGATGCAGGGCCGCCCCTCTCTGGCTACTGACACTGCGGAGGGGTCGGTGAGGCCTTTCACAGGGAATACAGCTCAGGCCCCCAATGTGAGTGATTACTAGTAACTGCTGAACGTGGGTGCAGGGATATGATGGAGGGCTCTTATTTCAACATTTTTTCTGTAGGTTTGAAAATTAATGAAACAAAAATTGGTATGGCTTTATGATATGCTAGAAATGACACTTAACGTGAAAAGATAATGAGAACAAATTCTGACTGTTTTCAGATTGTGATCTTTTGCCATTCAGGGCCTTTTAAAAATCTTTTTGTAAACTGAAGGGGACTGAACTCCACACATCTGCTAAAAAGTCATCCTACAATTCCCTAAGGACATGAAAATCCATAAAGACCATAAAAAACCACGACGACCACAAAAGGCACGTATTTCTGATCAATGTACATTTTCCCCCTGCAACTTCATCACGAAGAAAAGCTCTGGAGGACACAGCCAGACATCTGAGCTCGGTTTCTGCACTGACTTCCTGTGCACACGACACCTGGTCTCCGTAAGTGGGGGTCACAAGGGCCGCCGACCACCCCGAGTGAGAGCTGTCCTGGAGAACACGAACGGGTGTGGCTAGGGTGTCCTGACCACTGGCTGAGCCTAAAGACACTCTTACTGTCACTGCTGAGTAAGACAAGCAAATCACAAAAGAGAACCTAGAGTGTGCTCTCATCCATAAAAAGGGAAGGAAATATATGAAAATGCACATGTGCAGAAGAAGTACAGGAAGAACCAACCAGAAATTAATGCGATGGGTCACCAACAGGGGTGGGTAGACACACACACACACACTCACACACACTCTCAGAACCAGAGTAGTCACCTACACTTTGTACACTAAAATAGTTAAAAATTAACCAGATGTCGAAGGAATGCAGCCACTAACAAAACACTGCACTGTATCATAAGTAAGTACCATAAACATACGGAAGAGAGTGGGGAAGAGAACTAAACGACCTGGAAAAACAGCGTCTGAACTAGACACCATCAGGCTACAGGCAGAAGGAACGTTACGGAAATCCGTCAGCAGACGTGTTTCTCACAGGCACGTGTGTCAAGAATTTGGAACATTATGTGCACACTAAATACATCACAGACACTAAGAACCAGGTCTCTCCCTGTTGGAGAAAGAATCCTCAAACAGGGAAAGGAAGAAGGCTAAAATCAATCCTGTACTGTGCGGTCCAGGTCAGTCACCCCAGAACCCCAAGTACCCACATAATCCCATGATTTTTTAACACGAGTGTCGACTGATGGACATGAAAATAGAGACGTGTGCACCTGTGCGTGTCAGTACACATTCCTGCGTCCCCAGCTCTGCCCACTGAGAGGGCCTGGGAGCAGTGACGGCCCAGTGATGAGCACACCTAGTGCCCAGATCTTGGTTTCTTAATACCCTTCTCCACCACAGGGAACCAGGCGCACTGGAGAAGTGGCTGATCCTAGAGCCGAAGCACAGAAAGTACAAGATGAGCCTGCCACATAGCGTGGCAGCAAGAGAAAGGAAAGAATGCATAAAAAAGGATGGGGGCCTGCTAAAGACCCCAACCTGGAGCGGCTTCCAGTGACCAGAGCGGGACGATTTAAACGACATTATAAATAAATAACGACAGTACTGGGTTGTAATCCATAGAACAAACACTGATATAAGTACCTGATTAAATAAGTGGGGGAGAAGGAATAGCTGGTCCATGCAGAATCCCAATAAATAAATGTGGAAATGACAGAAATACAAAAACAGGCATTTGGTAAACACCATACTCTTGTTTCAGGCAAGCCATCAATGATGCTAAAATCAGGGAGTGCAAGTTTAAAGTGAAACAGGATCTTTATAGTCTCAAAGTATCTCTCCTAAAATATTTACTAGCCACCAAGGAAAAGACAGCAACTTTCAAGTAGGGATACTGGGAAGAAACCACCATAGGTGACGGATCACAGACGACATCACTGGTGACGAGACCCGCGGACATTGTGACCGAGCCCCCCTCCAGCCACGACCAAGCACCGAGAAACTCAAACTGAGGAGCCAGGGACCAAACACCTGGTCCACGCACTTGGAACTCGTGATGGTCACGAGAGACAAGGAAAGATGAATTCTTTCAGGCCGCACAAGTCTAAACAGAACTAAGTGCTAGGTGAAATCCTGGACTGGACCTCGGAACAGAAAAAGACACTGGTGGGAAACTGGTGAACCTGGAATGAGGTCCTTGGTGAACGGTACAGTGCTGATGTTCATCTCCTGGCTCGGACAACTGCACCATGCTTACATCAGGCGTTGACACTGGGGGAGATGGGGAGGGTATACGGAAACTGTATTTTTGAAATTGTCTAAAGGCTAAAATGAGATAAAATTAAAAAGTTACACAAACCTGTCTATTTTTAAAAGAATTTAACTATTCACTTAGCATCATAAGTATGTTAATCATGAGTGCACAAGGGGAAGGTATTTTTTACATGCCACACAGTCCAACGGAAGGAAATACAAATTTGCAGTTAAACTCGGGGTGCCTTTAACCCCTAGGTGTTTGGTACTTGCACCTTCTATCTGACCTAATCCTGCTCAATCCTCCAGTCCTAAAGGCCTCATCTTGACATTCTCCTGTCAAGGGCTCACTGGTTGGGGCAGCGCTCTAAAAACTAGCTTACGAAACATGACATTTTCGCTGTTTCTCTGCTCCAGACATTGAAAGCTATTAATGATCTGCATAAGTAAATCCTTTTCAGAAACGTATCGCCCAGCACTTCAAGGACACAGCATCTCCACTCTCTCCAGTGCTGTCCGGTCTCTCTCAGGTTACATATGGAATGAAAAAGGGATGGTCGCACCCGGCACATTTCCTGTAAAATGCTTTCATTCCGTCCCAATTCTTGCATCAGGTACGTACGCTTGTCTTCCAGTCCTATCATGCTGAGCATGCTCACTGCCCTGGCATTTTTCAAAGAACTGTTGTTACACATTACCCATATTCTCTTTATATTTTAGAAGTGCATGAATAGTTCTGGCTGTCAAGTAATTGTGACAAACCTATTCTTTTAAAGATGCCACAGCATTTTTTCTTTTCTAGCGTAGAACAATGAAAAAAGTTAGACATGTCTGTAGTTTCTAAGTGTCCAAAGTTCCTGTACTCGACATTCCCCTACTTAGAATGAATCTAGAACCTAATGCTTACTCTCACGCAGAACTCTGACGACAATAATGTGCTTGCACGAGAGAAGTCACACGTTTAAACTGAAGGCAGCACATGACACTAAGACTTCTTCCCACTGTATACTTACTTCATTTCATTGACTTGTCTCAGGATCTCATGCTGAGTGTTCGCAACAGTGTCCAGCTCCTGCCGGGAGACCTGGAGGGAGACAACCGGGTGGCCAGCTCAAGAACCCACCTCTGCGGGGACGCACAGCGCAGCCGCCTCCTCTCCGCCTCCCCTCCGCCGGGCCGCCTCGCGCGGCCGCTCTGCACGCCTGGAGAGCTCACCTGTCCATGCTGCCCCGGGATTCCGGCTCCTCTTTTGGAGATCTCCTCCGTCAAGGAAGACACGTATTTTCTCTGCTCATCGAGAATCATGTCCAACTGGCGGTTCAGCTGCTTGATTTCAAGATGAATACGATTCTGTCCTTCAAAGATTTGTATCAGTTCACGATCTCCTACACTCTCAAATATTTCATCCGCTGAAATGGAAATTAGAAATTAAAGCTATTAGACTCACCTATGCACAGGCAGTTTTTAAAATACCAAAGGTGCCGATACGTATTAAAGCCAGAGCATCAGCAACGCGGTGGTGTAAGCTCCCGAACAGTGAACACGCAGATAACTAACCCAATCACGACCGAATGACTCTCTTTGTTATGCCTGGCAGTTCAACATTTACTGTAAACCTGGTCGGAATTTTGTCACGGAACTCATCTTCTCTTTCAGATACACTGGGATTTTACTTGCATGAATGGGCAGAACTAATCTACATTCACAGAAGTCAGCACAGTGGTTGCCTCTGTGGAGGGGGGGAGGCTGGGAAGAGGCATGAGGGAACTTTCTGGGGTGACAAAAATACTCTGGGTGCTGATCTGGGTTACGGGGAAATGCATATCTCATCAAACTGCACTCTTAAATAAACCCGTGCCTTTTACTTGTGTAAAAGATTAAGCAATGGGAGTGAAGGAGAGCTGACTTTCCTTTAATATCTGATCAGGCTGAAAACTGATCAGTACATTCAAACACTACAGTAAGTTTCAACATACTCACAAATCATGTGATATTAAAAATAAATCCAGTAAAACAGTATAATTTACCTCTCATGTTTAGCTTAAGTCTGCATCACACTGGCGATCACTCAGAAATCGTGTACTACAAAGAGTTCAATTGTGCTGATGGGGAACCACCCCGGCAACAAAAGTCAGCAAACAGAATAAAGTTACTCTACTGGGCCTTACCAGGTGGTTTATTTTTTTTAAATTCTTAACCAAGGATATGTTGTTTTAATTGATTTTTTTAGAGGAAGGGAGAGAGCGAATGGGGGAGGGAGAGAGAAACATCAATGTGAGAAACCAACATCGATCAGTTACCTCTTGTACACCACCTGATTGGGGACTGAACCTGCAACCTAGGTATGTGCCCCAATGGGGGTGTTGAACCCTCTGCCCTTTGGTGCACAGGACAACGCTCCAACCACCTGAGCCCCCTGGCTGAGGCTGGCCTTAACGTATTTTGTTTTTGACATGTAGCACACTTAAGTTCTTAATAAGTAGCTTACACAGGTATTTTAAAACTTTGGACTTCTTAAAGTCCAGACTTCCGTTGAGTAGTAAGGGAAGTAGAGCCAGATAATCATTTCACATTACTCTCCCAGTAACTGATAGTTTTCAAGTATTATCTCCATATAAATAAGGTAATCTGTGTGCCCTGAGAAGGAAGAAAAATCAACCCTGGAAGACTTCATTCAATAAATATTACTGAGTTTCTACTCCCAGGTCGGCACGCTTTTTTTCGGTTCAGGCTGCAGAGCAGCGCACACGACAAAGCCCCGCCCTCACGGAGCTTCCCCTGCGGGGGGGGGGGGGGCCACCGCCCATCCAGGGCTCCAGGGGCACCCCCGCCGCGCCCTCCACGCCAGCCCTCTTACTGGCACGCACATCCCTCTCCGAGCCCCTTCAAGACTGCAGACTCGCTCACAGCTGTGCCCAGAAAACACCTGGAACACCCCAGACGAGAGAGGGGGCGCAGACTGGAAGTGTGCGGGGACACCCCAAGGCCACCGTGAACGCGGTCACCCCGAGGACAGCTGCGCTGCAACTCACTGGGTTGCCCTTGAAGGTCAGGGTGGTCCTTCTGAAATTCCTCTTTTTTTTTATCCAGTTCTTGTTGAAAGTGCTCGAATTCCTCCTGATATTTTTCTTTTTCTTTTTCTGAAATTTCTTTATCTGGTGTAGGCTGTTTTGGAGTTTAAGAACAAACAGGTCATCAAAAAGAATTTAAAAAAAGAAAATAATAAACCTCAGTATCTGTCCTTTTTCTCATCTTACCTACTCCACCACCAGTTGAAAGGTTAGCATGAAAATGCTGTTTCTTACTTAAACCATGACCAATCTACTCTTGCTCTGAGTAATTCCAGCAGAAAACACCGACAGCCGCGCCCATTCGCTGAGTGCTCGCTAGGGGCGCTGTCTCGCTCACGGCTCGCAGACGCCAGCCCGGAGAGGCCAGCGCACAGGCCTCGGTCTGCCCGGGCGGAGGCCCTAAGCGACTCTGCAGAGGCCGCGGGGCAGGGACTGGCAGAGGCAAGGGCCAAGCCTAAGGCACTCTCCCCAAGTTTTCACCACTAACCTGGAAACACACTTTCTGAAAACCTGTTGTACTTACCGGCTCTTTCCCCGGCTCAGTCAGCTGGAAAGTCAGAAAAGAAAGGACATCGTGGTCATCTACAAATTAAAAAAAAAAAAAAAATCAGAAAAGGTTCCATAATAGGTTATTTTTATGATTGTGAATCTACACATAGCTATGGCTTTACAAAAATCATCAATAAGGGAAATGAAAATTAGCTCTAATTTGGTAAATGCAATGGTGCTCTGTGAGCTCAGATGAAAATCCATCAGAAAGATTTACATTAGGGATAAGTGAAACTCACTTCCTTCACCCTAACCCAGCCCTCGTGGCCGTGTTTGACACGAGGCAGACACTCAGTATATCTCGTCTCTGAGGAGGGGACGAACAAACGAAGGAAGGCTCACAGGAAGCCCAAACTCCGAAGCCTGGCACCGAGGTCCCTCCACATTTTCCCACAAATCTTCACGGACTATGTCTCGGCCAAGTAAGAGAAAACGCTGTCCTCCACGTGGCTCCCGCACCTGTCTCCACCTGGCCGTCGTGCAGCACTTACACTCCCGCCTCACTTGTTATACACACGGCCCTGCCCTGCCCTGCCCTGGCCTAGGGGGTGCCCGGGTTCGCACGTGCTGCCCTGGCCTTCCTAACGGCGTCGCCTTTTACTCCCCGAGCGTCCTGGTTTAGATGATGTGGTTACTCTATCCAGACAGCATTCACGTCTGTTCCCCTCACACAGCAGACACTGACAATTCTATCTAAAGTCATGTAAGAATAAATTAACTTCAAACTGTTTAAGCTGAAAAGAGGGACCAAGCAGATCAAACCTCACCACATAGAACTAAATCCTGGCTAGTCACATCCACAAAGCAAGAGCAATTCATTTCGACTGCGTGACGGTCTCCAGCTGTCCGCCACTGTCGCGGAGATGCAGGTATGCAGCAATGGGAGAGAAGACCGTAACGGCTCAGTGTGGGTCAGGCCACTTCAGGGGTGGTCATGGAGTAACAGAGCGCTGGACCTGGGAGTCAGCAATCCAGACCAAGGCCTGCCTGGGTCTGACCATTACTGGCCACGTGATCTTTAGAAAGCCCTTTAATCCAAGATTGGCAAACTCGTCTAACATTAGGGTAAAAATCTATCCTCTTTCCCCCTCCCTCTGCTGTAAGAACAAGTCATATATTTGAAAATGAAACTATATAATGTACCATGTAAACTCAAGATTGTATTAACGTCAAATGATAAGCTCATTTACCCACAAATAGAAAAAAAATGGTACACATATCTTGTTTCAAGTGTAGTCCTCAATAACATTTCCTCAGGCCACCAAATTCACCTATATGTATTGGGACACCTCTCAGGACCCTAAAACATTCAGCAATCAGCCTTTTACAGCCTCGACTTGACTTTACACGTCTCCTGCACTACAGAACAGCACCCGAACCGCCGCTCTGACGCCCACGGCTGCAGGTGGCCCCACGCACCTCCTCCCTGCAGAACGTGGGGGAGCACTAGCAGTCCCGAGGGACAGAAAGACAGCCCTGCAGGCTGCGGGGGGCTCACACCGGTCACGAGGGCTTCAAAATGACTGCGTGCGCACATCTCCCAAATACACCACCCCTGACAAACCCCTGCACACGTGCTTCGTGCGACAAGACGGCGAGTTACCTGCGAGACCTCCAGTTGCAGCGGATACTCCAAAGTGCCCTTGTGCGGGGACAACCATGTTCTCCACTTTGGCACAAAATTCGTAGTCGTTTTTGTCTGGTGTGAAGCCGTTATTGATCATCACCTGGACAGACAGACAGGAGCTACAGCTTTCACAACAGACACTGGCGGGGGATTTCGGGCAGTCGGTTTAGGACTGGTCCTATCTGATCTAATAACCACTGGTCGAAAAGCTATCAGCTTTCTCTCATTATCATAAAGGGTCATTAATCCCTTGTCCACTAAATAACCTCACTTACTGTTGGTACATCATACAAGATATTTCACTTAAGAAAGTGGTTTTTGCTTTTTAGGTGCTAAAAGCTTGAACAGAAAAATTTGTTAATTGTCTGTGAAAATCTCTCTAATACAGAATACGGCTCCCCTTTTCTCCAGAATTCTTAGGGAACCATGGTTTCTGTGGATGGCTCACACAGAAGGGGGGTCGAACTCGTTCTGCAACCCCGCTGGTAGGGCTGACAGGCTGAAGTTACCATTTTTACGGTAGCTAGTTGCAAATTAAATAGAGTGCCTTACTCAACAGTGAGCTCCTCCTCATTAGATTAGGTAGGTACATGAGCTGTCGTTAATTTAGCAGAGAGACAGCAGAAGTGCCAGAAGTCACATCGACACAAAAGGCAGAAAATGAAAACACTACACAGACCCAAGTTTCTACTCTGCAGAATGCACTTCTGAAGTAATGGCCCCAAATGTCCTAACGGGGTCTCGGCACTCAACGAGCGGGAAGCCCCCCAGCGTGCGGCACAGGAGCACGCTCCCACGGCCCCAGCCCAGCCCAGCCCAGCCCAGCCCAGCAGCAGCCTAGCCCCCTCCCCGTCAGTGTCAGGTCCGGCCACCCGGGCACCAGCCCCACCCGAGGAGGAGTCCCTGGCATGGAGGGTGGAAGCATCATGTCGAGGTCCACCCCTCACACTGACAGCCATCTTGCCAGAAGCTCGGACAGAGCATTTTCTCCGTGTGACTTAATCTCAGGCACCACTTGTAGTCTTATAGTGGAGATGCTGCTGGCTCAAATCAGTTCCGTGACTTGCTTCGTATGACACTGTCAAGTCACTTAAAACCTCCCACATTCACCTTCCCATGCAACGTGGGGATGCCCACCCCGCAGGGCTGCTGGAAAGGTTACACGAGAAACTGCATGTAACGTGTCCAGCACAGGGCACGGCCCATTAAAAGTCAAGGAGTCTAAATGATCGTATCTTTTGCTCCTTCCACACATACTGTTACAAGAAAACTGCTGCCCAAGTCTTCCTAAATTGCAAACCTGATCATTTCACTTTCCTCCTTAAAACTCTTTAAACGGTTCCTCACAAGATAAGCTATACAAGACCTGCAAGACTTGTCACTGCCCGCTCTCCGCCTCGCTTCTCAGCATCTCCTCTGCCCTCCAGCCGCACCAAACCGCTCGCCTCTCCCAAGTCTCCAGGAGCCCCAGGCCTGTCTTCTCTGCCTGGGACATGCACCCCATCCGGGAAATTCCTGCTCCCCTTCAAACTACACTCAGACACTCTTCCTGACCCTCGTCCTCCCACCTGGCAGTTACAGTGTTCCAGCCCCTGCATCCCTTAATAGTGTCTGTGTTGCAGCATTGATGACAGTGTAGTAATGTCACGCAAGTGTCTCCCGCATTAGACTACAAGCTCTTTGGAAAATGATCTTTGCCTTACACTCGTTTGTATCCTGGAGGCTTGTAGGCACATAATATGTAGCACGTAGTAGGATGCTTCAACATTTACTGACTAACTGCAAAGCCAGCGGCCAGGTGTTAGAACACACGGCCACTCGTACCAGGCTCTGAAACTCCTCCTGTTCTCTCACAGTAGCCCTGACGAGTACACAAACACCACCCACACTTAAGTGCATTTAATTCCTATCCAAGATTCAAAATGAGAAATCACTGTTCATCTGACTATCACTAAATGCGCGGCACTCACCGTCAGTGTTTTCTGGTAATATGTGATCTTTGCCCGGACAGGGTAGGGTTTATTACGAAAGTCCCTCTGGCAACTCGCCAAAGCCTGGTTAGCACCGTCACTATGGGATGAGGGAAGGAACACGAGCAAGCAAGAAACGTGAGCTTTTCAATATTTAGAACTCACTATTTAAAATGACTCATGCCTAGAAAGATTAAAATAGTATCAAGTGAAGACAAAGAACTGGGGGAGTTGAAGTTATTCACTCAGAAGGCACCAAGCTGACACACGAGTGTGCCCCGCGGCTTCTCGGGACTCGGGAACACACGAGGGCCGTTGCCAGCGTGCGCTGTGGCGTGGGCAGAGTCCTTTACCCCAGTGCAGGATCGTTATCACAGGAGGGCCTGGGAACCTGTCTTTTAAATAGCTCCACAGGCAACTACCAGAGTAAAAAAACTACTAACGTGAACAGGAATGCAGATAAGTACTTTTTCATCCAGTTCACGGACTGGCTCCCACAACAAACATTTAAAATTTTTTGTTTTACAAAAATGCAGATACCAAATTACTACACATTACAAATACGCTAAATACTTAGAAGCCAGCTTTGTAGCCCACCAAGAATCTTTAAATATAGCAATTCTAAGGTAAACAGGTGGCATACATTTCTTTTTTTTAAAAAAGATTTTATTCATTTTTTGGAGAGGGAGAAGCGAGGGAGAAAGGGAAACATTGACCAGCTGCCTCTAGCACGCCCCTTACTGTTGGGGGACCCGGCCTGCAACCCAGACACATGTCCTGACCAGGACTGGAACCAGCAACCTTCAGGCGTGAAGGCTGGTGGCCACCCCACTGAGCGACACCAGCCAGGGCAAGGTGGCATCAATTTCTTAGTCATTAGTTTAGTCAAGGCTGACTTTATTTTCGAAAGACCCCTTTTTAAGAGATATGCAAAAACATGACTAGTGGCATCGCTGAAAGCCAGAATATTTTATTAACTTTTTAAAAAAGTTTTATATAATTTTAGGTTAAATATAACAACACATTTTTAGGCTTAAAATCTGACATGGTCCACAAAAGAATTTTAAAACAGAACCAAATTACAATAAGAACTTTCCATCTAGTTATAAAATAAATCTCAAGAAAAAGAATAATCTTATTTCATCTGGAAAATGTCCAGATTTGAAACAACATATTTCAGAAGGTTTCCAAAAAATAAGCTGAAATTAGCAATAATGTAAACACACACTTACTTTTGATGGTCATAATTAATTTGTCCATTGTTGCCTACAATTACTATAGCAGGATTATTTTTCTAAAAATAAAGAAAACATATTTGTATTAAAGTCCTTACACCAAGGAATTCTAGATCACTCTGGATATGCTGTAAGGTTTTTTCATCTCTAATAACTGTACAACTGAAAATTTAAAAATAATAGAAGAGATTTCTACTTATTTAGTAAACTCTTACAATCATTCAAAAGCAGCCACTGAACACCTCAGTAAAGGCCGGTAATGTGTCCTCTCTCTGAATAATCCACCTCAACAGGTATCTGCAGACACACTGTGAGCACGGGGTAAGTAGGGGCTTGTGGAAGCTAAAACAGGACAAACAAGGCTCCAGCATTCAAGGATTAATTAAAGTTCTCCTTTAAATTGCTAATACTGACTCCAGGAGAGAAACAATCAGCTGGAAGCAGGGTCATCAATCTTAAGGCTGCTCAAGCACAAGTTCATGCTCCCAATTCGTAAGTATACTTTGTTCCTAACTGTTTTAGGGGAGATCAGAGAAACTGGCCGATCAAAAAGAGTAATATACGAAAAGATATTAACATGTGAGCTTGTAGTAGTAACGCACATAGATAGGTGTTTTCATGAAAACAAACTATGGTGGTTGACTCTCAACACTACTGGTTTCGCTGCCTACATCCACATGACTCATGCATACCCATCGAAATTCCTGTGCACAGACAGGGTGCTAGGGAGGGGGCCTTGCAAACTTCTCAGAGTTAGGGCTCCATTATGACCCCAAGTTGGAGTATGACAAATCAGGAACTCGTAGCTTTACATGTATAAATTCCCAGCTATATAAAGACTAGCCATCACTTTTAGTTTGGGGAGTTCTCTACTATCAAAATGACAAAAGCGTTAAAAATAAGTTGTATTCTCACAGATTAACTTTGTTAGCAGACTTCAATGTATTCAAGTGGGTAACAGTCACGTACCTTCCCATCGTTGTCAAAAGAATCGAAGAATATTCCAACACCATTCCACATATCAGCTGATCCAAACACGGGACCATCCAAACCTTGGCTTTCTGTATACCAAACCGCCTGTAAACATATATAAGGAACATTCAGAGACTGGTGGTGTTTGCATTTATATACGTTTTATAAGTTAAAAATATTATCGTACCAGGCCATCAGCTCCAATTCGACCTCTTCCAGTCACTCGAAATGTCACTTCAATTTCCCAGTTCTCAAAGGCTGCTTTTGTCTTTGTCCACACTGACCCTCTTTGGCTTTTTAAAGATGGTGCTATTCGAATTTGATCTGAACTTGGAATAGCATCTAGAACAAAAAAGCTGTAAGTTATAATTAGGTAAAACTCAATGGATCATCACCAAACTGTTACATACAGAGATCTAATTTTAAATCAGTAACCTCTACAATAATTTTGTTAGGAAAATATTTCATGTTGACAGTTTCGACTTTTGAATAGTGAAATATATCTGCAAAAAAAAAAAAATTAAAGCTGTAATCATACACTAAAAATGCAAGGGGCCCTGGGAGAGAGGAAATTTTGGCTTAAAAGCCAAATCAAATATTTGATTCTCATATTATTTTTCAACTACTTTTAAATGTGATGTTTTCTATCAGTTTGCAAATGTTAGAAAAGCTCAAAGAGTGTGAAAAGAACACGCCACTAGGAATCAAGAGACTTATTCTTAGTCTTAGGTTAGCTGTATGACTTTGAGTAAATAATTCTCTTACTCTCTTGGGCTCACCACATGCTCAGCTGTAAAATGAAGGGGCTGGACTCAATCATTTCCATAAAAAGGCTAAAAATTATATGCCTACATTCTTCTAGGGAGAGGGCCAACTGAATTTCAAGTCAATAAAAAAACAGTGCTTCAGCATCAGCAGATTCTCAGAGAGGAGATGCCCGAAATGGTGGTTCGCGTCTCCACGCTGGGTCAAGTCAGCTCCCCATTTGCTAGCTGTTTATCACAGGTGAGTCACTCCGTTTCTCCACCAGCCTCGGAGGCAGGGAAGTTCCTATATAAATCCATATAGATAGCTCCATAAATGTTAGCTGTTTCTATTACTGGACAGAATAATTATTAAAGCACCTATCGGGCCTACATTTGAACAATTCCAGCACACACTCTCAGGTATTAACCAGTTTTGACTTTCATGTTGGGAAATAACTATACTGTCTCTTTAGGGACAGGAAAAATGGACAAAAAGTTAAGATACTTTAGTCAGATCAGCCACCGTTCGTCACCATCACTTTCAAGCACTTAAGGGAGGGGGCAAGCACCCAGAAAGAGAACTGGATACGGAATCAGAGGGCCTGAAGCTGAGTTCTGTTCCACGGCCGCTAGCTTTGTGACCTCCCTGGACATCGATCTTTTACCTACAAAACAGCACCCACCTGCCCTGCCTACTAAGGATCAGGTGAGAGCAGAGGCGAAAGCTCTGAGAGCTGTAAAAGGTTATAAACTGCTATCATTTTTTGCCCTTATGGACTGAGGACGTGTATGGACAGTACAAAAGGACATTCAAATTAAGAAAAAGAAACACCACAGATTCGGTCCTAACATGGGGATGAATGTAAAGGGCTATGTTTAAACTAAGTTTTAAATTTCTTTTGTTTTCAAGATTGTTTTAAATAACAAATCTCAGCGCAAAATGAAAAGGTGAAAATTGATGGAGTGAGGAAAACAGTGCAATGAAATCACAGTGAAAGCAAAGGATCCGCACAGCAGTGATTTCCAGAGTCAGGAGACAGAAGTGTCGGGGCTAATATACTAAGCACTTCATTTCAGTTCCGTCCAGCCACACAACTTTAATTAATTCAGACACATTCGCTGACATTTCTGCGGCAAACTTAGTCGGTTACAAGCTTTGTAAAGAAAGCCATGATAACTAATGTGAGTAGTTTGATTAACATTGCTAATTGGCTGATTATGGGGCACAGGCATGAGAAAGAGAAGAGCAAGCAGGCAGTGGAAAGATGCAGAAGTGAAAACGGGTGAACAAATTCATCATCATTCCAAAAAAGAAAAAACAAAAAATTCCAGAACTTGTGTTTAGTACATCGGCTTCTTCTTTGTTACACTAAGACCGTTACTCTGATAATAAAAGCCCAGAAACAGACCTTTGGCGAGTGGGTACATAATTAATACCTGTTGAGTAACAAATTAACTGCACTCAACTTCAAGTACTTAATGGCTGGGTCATTATGTCAGACTGAAATTCATACCTCCTAATTATACATTAATTTCAGTGAAATGGCCCTTCCTAGGAGTGCGCTTCCTATTCAAGAACTACTTTCTAGAAATGGAACGTTTCTAGATTGTCCAGCACGGACAGTCTAAAATAATGTATACAGAGCTCATGGAAATGACTTCCTAATTACACATAAGGATGGAATTCCAGTTGCCAGAACTTCACACCTGGTGGTCCCTGATCAGAGCTTCCAGCTGTCAAGTGCTATGGCTGATTCCTTAGCCAGCAATGACACATCAGCACTTAAGCACAGATGTATTTCTTTCACATATGTAAATGTCTAGCAAGGCAAGCTCGTATCTACTAACAGTGCCAGACACAGAGTAAGTAAAAATCATGAAGCATATTTTTGATTAAAAAAAACTTTAAAAAGAGCTGTAAATATAATGCTAGTCTCAAGTTCTGAAACAATATAAAAAATATGTTCCTTGGTTTAGTAAATAAAGGGACATGTGTGACTATGAAGTTACATAATGTGTTAATAGAAGAGGAAAGATCAGAGACCACACCAAGTCACTACGAGTGGCAAATTTAAGGTATCGTTCCAACGGGGTGGAAAGTATCCTGACATAAAAACTTAAGAGTTACTACAAAATCAACGTATGTCATCTGTGGAGCCATCAGGAGGCATCCGGTACAAACTGGAGCATTAACCATTGCTAACACCGGGTTTAAAAAAAAAAGAAAGCAAAGGAGGGCCGAGGGGAAGCGGGAAAGGAGGTAGGTGGGTTGCTTGAACAGGTCTCCGGGTGGAATAGGTTGGGGTGGGGTGTGTTGGACGTTTCCCCTAGAGACGTGGCGTTAGGGTGAAACATGATGCCTAGAAACGAGTTTGAGTGCTTCCAAGTGTAAGAAGTAACAAAACACCCTTAGAACAAACGGAAAGAACCGACGAGATCAAGGAGGAGACAGGCCGAAGGGGGGTGGACAGAATGGGGAAAAGACTGGGGAGCATGTGGAGGAGACCTTGCGGACCAGAGCCGACCTGCAAGAGGGGCTGCCTAGAAGGGTCCCCTCCACTCCGCATAGGATGTGCAGCAGGGAGATAATGAAAGGGAAGAGGCGCCAGGCGAGAATGGGACCCGGGCCCTCCCGCCCTCTGCCCTGGCTTACTCCCCGCGTGGGCCCAGAAAGGCACGGTCCCGTCGCTCTGCACCAGGTGCGGCCCCTTGAAGCTGTATTTGTATTCGAAACGGCGATGTGGCAGCGTGGCTGGGGTGCCCGCGGCACCGGCGGACGCAGGGTCTCCTCCCACGCCGTCACCCCCGACGAATTGACTAAAGGACAGCAGCAAGGCGCCGAAAAGCAGCTGAGCTCTGCTCTGAGGACCCCTGTGCCTGGATCCCGCCATATTGGATTCTGCAAAGCGGAGGCCGGCGGGAGGGGGAGGGGCTCGGGAGCAGCCGACAGCCAACAGGGCGTTTAGTGATTGGCGGAGACCGAGGTACCCTGAGGGCAAGGTTGAGCCCCGCCCCCTGCCTCCGCTAACTCGGCAGCCGTAGGACCGGAGCAAATGTGGGCGCGGCCAAGCTGAAGGGGGCGGGGCCTGGAGCGCAGAGCCGGCCCACCCTCCTCCTCTCCAATCCCGGGTCTGGAAAGGTTCCATCCAGCACTTTCCACAATACCACCGAGTGTTGCAGGAACCGGCCCAGTGCCTACCTACAAGAATCCCTTTCCTGCGTCTTTTATAAATGTATTTTTTAGGAGAGGGTAAGGGAGGGAGAAAGAGCTCTGATCCGGAATGGAACCGGCGACATCTGGGTCGTCGCTCAAGCCACTGTGCCACACCAGCCCCAGATACACCAGCCGGAGGGCGGCATCTTACCTCGTTAGTGGTGGAATTCTCGAACCCTAACACCAGTAAACCCACCACATCGGTCCTCCACGGCTGTGATAAACCTTTCCAGTATTAGTTGGAAGAAAGGCATTCATTTTGCGGGGATTCCGATTGTTCAGTAGCTGGTTTTGATTAGGTGCTCGGAGCCTTAGTATCTTTTTGTTGGGGTTGATTCAGAGGTTTCTATGAATTTGTCACTCAGGCCTTTACCTCTCTCAAAATTTAATTCCCAGGTCTAAGAATGATGGCCCAGGAAGTCAGAGGAACCTCTACTTGAAGGATTTCCTCGAGTCCCTTCGGCCAGCCAGTTCTGCCCATCTCCAGACTTCTATTTTTTTTAAGATCTTCACATATTTAAGCCATCGTCTCCAGGTGTTGTTACCTGCACCCCTGATATCACAGCTACCGTATACGGAGTGCTACTACATACGTATCCGGCACTGTTCTGGGTGGCAAACATCCAATCAATTAAGAGGAAAGTAACCCAGGTTTTCATTTAATATCAGGCTTTGCTCTAGCTGTTTCATTTATGAGGAACAGTCCTTTTTCTCAAATCACATGTCTATTTTTCCTAAAGTAACACGCTGGACATCTTAAAAGCTCTTCTCCAAGTCTTCAGCAATGATAAATCCGTGGCGAAGCACCAAGGCTCCGGGGCCAACTGGCTAGCGGTGAATCCTGGTTTTCCCAGCGCGTGGTCTTGGGCCAGGCGGTTGACCTCTCTAAAGCTTGGTTTCCACATCTGGGTGAGGGAGGACAATAGCAGTACCTATGCCATTCCATTTTAGAAAGAACTCAGTGCCTGGTAGCCAGGAAGCGCCGATAAACAGGAGCTATTCTAGTGACGTTTTTTCACCCTTCGGCTGACAGCAACAAGAAGCCTTACTCAGCCCTATTAAGTCAGTCACATCGTGGTGGCACTCATCACAACACACAGTCCATCTCTTATTTTCTCCTTAAGAAAACACAGCCAATGCAGTCATATTGGGGATCAAAGTATTTGTTGACTTTACAGTAACACAAACTGCCTAACTTCTTTTAGGTAAGTAGCAGATATTTTACAAATAGCCTGAGGGTCATCCTACAGATCTGGACAGAGTCGAGCTAATGTGATTAATTCGGTGTATTTTAAAGATTTTATTTTATATTTTAGAGAGAGGGAAAGGGAAGGAGAAAGAGAGGGACGGAAATATTGATGTGACAGGGAAACATTGATCAGTTGCCTCTAGCACACCTCCCAACTGGACACCTGGCCCGAAACCCAGGTATGTGCCTTGACTGGGAATCGAACCTGTGACCTTTCAGCGTGCAGGCTGGCATCCAATCTGCTGAGCCTCACCAGCCAGGGCTAATTTGATATATGTTAAATGTATTATTGTATATGTTAATGGTAGTTAGTGCTAAATAATTTGTCAATTATAATTAAATTTTCAATATAATTTTTCATGTTTACCTTTTAGTCAATAAATAAAATAGGTAAGAATGGCTTTGGATGCACTTTAGGTTGGGAAAGAGAAGGGAGAAAGATACTGTATTTGACACAGAATGTATTAATACCTGTTGCCTGTATATTAACATGTTATGTGCAGGTTAAGCTATCAGATAGTATTTCTCCTATGGAGTCAGTGTATGTGAAGATACTTTTCTTGGTCCTGCTATCTTTGGATAGACTAGTTGACCCCATTTCAACCTTTACTATATATATATATATTTTTTTAACTTAGTAAATGTAAAATTAGGGCTGGCACTGAAAAGAAGGTATGTTGCTTATTATAAAACAAAACTTTTAAATTCTTCTTCATGTATGAAAAGGTCAGCAGTAACATGCCCCTTAACACCTTCATTGGGATATAACAATCTTTCATTCCTTTAACAAACTCAAGGCACAGTTTAAAGATTTTGTTTATTTTTTAGAGATGGGAAGAGAGGGACAAAGAGAGGGAAACAGCAATGTGTGGTTGTCTCTCACTGGGGACCCTCTACTGGGGACCTGGCCCACAACCCAGGCATATGCCCTGACTGGGAATCGAACTGTTGACCCTTTGGTTCCTAGGCTGGCACTCAATTCACTAAGCCACACCAGCCAGGGCTTCAAGGCACAGTTTAGAGGGAAAGAGGGAGCAGGAAAAGTAGGCAGGAGAACAGAAAGCAAGAGAGAAAGAAATGTTTGGAGAGGGGAGAAAAATGTTCTTATCCAAACGGTGATATGCTGCTCCATTTGACCTCAGAATAAATATTTGTAGATATTGATTTCCCAGTGCAAAATGACAACGGGTCGTCAAAGGAAGGTTAAGCAAAACATTTAAACTGGGAACCAAAGCTGGATCTAAAGAAAGGGGACATGTATGTAGATAGGGAATAATCACATGCTTCCACTACATTAATGAAGAACTGAATCAGAGCTTTTAGGGCCTTTTTTTTACCCATTCCCTAGAGATGGAGTCTTTTGCATACATTTGGGATGCAGGAGCATGCATATTCAGTACGGAAGCTCAAAGAAATCTCAGTGTCAGGTGAGGCAGTAATAACTTGTCCGTGATTGGCTAGCTCAGGAAGTAAAGGATTCTTCTATCTAATTCTTTCACAGTGTTCCAACGGTGACACCCATGGCAAGATGACACTAGAAAGAGAGCATTGTCAGTAATGAATGTCCAGAAATGCAAATCCCGCACCAGACAAATAAATGCTTCAAGCAATTTAGGTCAGAATTACGGGTTTCTTCCTGAGCCCTTCCCCAAACAGCAAGCATACAGTAAAATTGTGCATTATTTCAAACTCTGATAACTTGGAATACAGAATATTTTACTCAAATCAGAGTTGGGCTGAAATTCGATACAATTTAAGGTTGCTAAGCAAATTCACCACAGCACATTAAATCTACTTTAAAAAGCAATCAATTTTAGAGACCAGTTTATTTAGAAGAAATAATACATGCTGATAATTACAGATCAGTTGGCTTGGTGGTTAAAACAACTTTGTACTCCCACTTGTTATCATTGTTATCATATGTAACTGAAATAAATAAAACTCGAGTAAAAAATTCCTGACAGTGCTGATCAGTGTATAAATGAATGTTTCATGAAAAAGAATGCTGCTTTAACTTCACCACTAAATTGAAGTTGTTGGCACCCAATTTGTTACACTGAGTGAAAAGTTTTACTATGAGTTTTAAAGCATGAATATAAATCATTTATTAAATCATCTATGTCTTCCCAGAATTCAAGGATGTTTCACTATTAGGAAATTTACTAATGTAATTTGCCACATTAAGTGATGTTAATATCTCAATAGATGCAGAGAAGAATTCCATAAAATAATCCTCATTAATGGCAAGAAGTTTTAGTAATTTAAGAATAAAAGAGAATTCCTTACCCTGATAAAATTGATCTATCAAAAGCCTACAGCAAACACTATATTCCTAATGGTAAAATTTTAGAAACCATTTTTATGACAGTTAGAAATGATAAAAATATTCTTATTACCTTTATTATTTAATATTTACTATTGTATTGATGGTTTTAAATAATACCATTGCCCGAGAAAACAAGAGAAAAAAAGGATTGGAATGAAAGAGACAAAAATGTCCTTATTTGTACCTTATATTATGTTATTGCTTCACAGAAAATTGAAGAGAATTCAGGCGCAAACTATTAGTACAAATATGATAGTTACCATCTTTATACCAAGTAATAACAAATTAGAAAATATGAAAGAATGCTATTTATATTAAGGAGAAAAACTATAAATTACAAAACAATAAATTTAATTTTGAAATGTTGAATAAACTTCAAGAAAAACATTATTTAAAGACATAATGGAAGACCTACAGAAATGGAAATATATACCATGTTCATGTTTGAGAAGACTTAAATGATAAAAGTCTTTATTCTCTCTCCATTGGTTTAGAATTAAGAACAATTTTAATAAATGAGGAAAATGAAACTTGACGAGCTGATCCTACAGTTCGTGTGGAAGAGCAACTAGCCCAAACCGGCCAAGACTACATTGGAAAACACAACCAAGGAAGCAGGATTTTTTTTTTGTTAGATTGTTCTATCAACTCTACTATCTAATTATGATAATTTTTTTTAAATTTATTTATTTATTTATTTTTAGAGAGGAAAGGGGAGGGGAGAGAGATCAATGTGTGGTTGCTGGGGACCGTGGCCTGCAACCTAGGCATGTGCCCTGACTGGGAATCGAACCTGCGATGCCTGGTTCACAGTCCGCGCTCAATCCACTGAGCTACGCCAGCCAGGGCTAATTATGATAAGTTTTGTAATGAACACAGGGTGGTGGTGGCACCGGGCTATATAGCCCAGTGGACCAGAATAAAGCCCATCGACACATGCATGTATGTCACCTCATATATGATATTTTTATTAAAAAGTATTAGAAAATGCTAGATTATTCAATAAATGGTTCTGGGAAAAATTATCAATTCATTTGAAATAAGAAAATAAAATGGACTCTTACATTCCACCATAAAATTAAATTTCAGATGAATTAATGATCAATATGTAAAAAAGCAAAATT